CTCCGCCAGCCCCGCGGGGTCAGGACCGCGTCCGTACGCCTGGGCGCCACCATGTTGCCCCTCGAGCGCCCCCGCGCGGGGACCGTATGCGTGGGCGTCGCCATCTTGAATAGAAGCCACGTACGGGAGCCCTGCAGGGTCAAGTGTTCTCCGACCCAAGAGCCCAGCGCCTACGCCAGGCCCCTTCAAACACCAGCCCGTCCGAGCCGAGCCGAGCCAGCCCCGCACTGGACCCCGGGCGGGGATGGATCCGGAATCGATTAACCGATAAGCGAAAGCACGTCGGTTAACACTATAGAGACCACCCGCCTTCCCCCGCGTCGTCCTGCAGCGGGGAGTTCCGCTGGTGCGGGACTGGCAGGGCCCCCTCTTCACCCAACCTACAGCCCATGGGGGCGAGACCGGCGTCCTGGCTGCCCACCTCAGATCTCCCCACCTCCCCCTGCTCCCCAGCATCACACAGGCCTGAAAAGGTGCAGCTGCTGCTCCCGTGGGGAGTCCCATCCCCGAGACCCCCGCCCAGGGCAGCTGGTCCATGCGGGTGGAGGGGGGGTTCCAGCCCTGCAGCAGCCCAGGGCGCACACAGAGTTCAGCCTGTTCTGGCCTCCAGCCCGTTCACAGGACGGATTAGAGGGAGCCGTCCTGCAGGGAGCACTAATTGCCCAGGAGGTGGAAGCTAAATCAGGCCGTCATGTTCCTTTCACAGGTGACTGGGCCCGGCAGGGGGCCCAGCAGAAAAACAGATACTGCCTGGGACAGCTGTGAAGTCAGCTCTGCAATAGGGAGGCAGTAGGCACCTGACCCCTTCCTCCATTCCAGGATGGGGCACCCTGCTGACAGCTCTGGAAGGACAGTGGAGAGTAGGGGGCAGAGCAAGGACGTGAGCAGCAAGCACTCACACTCCAGGGCCTCCCCAAGACAGGAGGAGAATCCAGGAGTCCCAATTCCCAGAATGCCCCTGCTCTAGCCACTAGACCCTACTTCCCCCTTCCAGGACAGGCGTTAGGAAGCAGGACCCCTATGTTCTGGACCCATCTCTAGGAAGGCCTCCCTTGCTCTAACCACTAGTCCCCACTTCCTTCCCAGAGAGGGGACCCCAGAAGTCCTGGCACCCACCCCTTGCTCCAACCACTAGGCCCTGTTCCCCAGCCCACCCTCTGACTTTGCTCACCTGCCTTTTGACCCCCCCAAGGTCTCCAAGGCAGGCACTAGGACAGGGGTCAGGCCAGGATCTCCCCCTGTACGGCAATCCTTCATCAGCTCCAGGCATATGCAAGGGTGGGGGGGAAGGAACCAGGCCATGTGTCCACAGCAAAGGGCCAGCCTGGGATTGTTCTGGGTCCCAAAGAAACCATCCTTCAGGGACTGCAGGGAACTTCAGTGCTGGGCCAGGCTGGCAGCTGGCAAACCCTCATGGGAGAAGAGCACGAAGGGCAGAAGTGAAGCCTCAGTTACCCATTCTGTTCTCAACCCCCCCTCGGGTGGAAGGAGGATGCCCACGTCTGCACAGGGAGTCAGTGGCAGCCTGGAACAGTCGCTGCAGTACCCCCATGCCTCAGTTTCCCCACCTATATTTCCCAGGAGGGGTGCTGGGAAGCAGAGGGTTACTACAGTGGGAGGGCAGACAGACATACACCCTCGCACTGCAGGGACCCCAGTTAGCCACAGCAGCCGGTTCTGCTGGGGAAGGGGCCTGCCCCAGCCAGCTCGTTGTGCACAGGCAGGAAGGGCCTCAGGGATTGGGCCAGAACCCGAAACCTCACACTGTGTTTGTCCAAACGGCCCCAGGTGGCACAGGGACCCTCTCACTGGCGTCAGTGAAACGCTCAGGGCCCTGTTCGCAGCCCAGCCCCACCCCCCAATAAAGCCTCCATAGCCCATTCCCCCCAGTGCTTCACTCTGCTCTTGCGATTCCTGTGGGGAGGCAGGGAGAGGAGAAAGCCGCCGTGTCTGGAGCTCCCAGCAGACCGGGATAGAATTTCCAACACGGCGTGCCTGTGACTGCACCGGGAAGGGGATAACGAACCCACCAAGCGCTCTACTCGGCTCCAGTCTGGCAGAATATTTTAATCAACAACATAAGCACGTGGGTCAAACTTAGTCCCGTTAGGTTACACATCCAGTCGATCAGCCCCTGCCTCTGCCTTCCTCAGCCCTTAGCAGCAAGCGCCCCCCGACGGCGCCGTCCAGCGGACTGACCCCTCACTCCCAGCCCCACCTGCACTGTGACCCCAGAGGCCTTTGGAACAGGCCCCAAAGGAGCAGCCAGGGCCCGTGCACCGTGGCAGGTAGACCAGTAGCAAAGGCTGCCTGGGAATCAGGCCAGGGTTCAGCCAGCTAAGAAGCCCAGAGCGGGAGGGGAAGAACGTGAGCCAGAGAGCTAAGGCAGTGCACCTGGCGGGGGAAGGCTGGCCGGGCTCCCACCCCTCTGGGAACAGCAGGGCCAGGGTGAGCTCAGGCAGCGAAACTTCGACCTCGCGGCTCCTCGGGCCTCTTCCAAAGAACAAGGAACAAATGACCGACGAACGGGCACCGGAACTCTGGCCCCCCGGCCGGCAGTCGGGCGCCGGGCGCAGCACCTCCCCCGGCAACACACGGCTCCGCAGATCCAGGCCTCCATCAGGCGTTGAGCCTCCAGATTTCCAAGGACAGGCCCCCGGAAGCAGCTACCACAATGTTGCCTTCTGCACTGATCTGGGGGGAAGGGGGAGAGGGGGTGTGAACAGGCACAGGGGACTGAGGCCACGTCAATCCAGGATCCTGGGGTGCCAGCTCCAGGGTTTCTGCTAAGTACACCCTGCCCCCGCTCCGAGTTTAGCCACAAGGTGTCCTAGTGCTCAGCATGGCTGCGGGGCCCTCCCGTGTGTGCAAGGAGAAGGGAGCGCTCCCCCGGGCGGAGCTGAGTGGCCATGGGCCCAGGCCACAGGAAGGAAGCCAGGAGGGGACAT